TATTAAATTTTTATATATAAATTTTAAAAGTTTTATTTTTATATTATTGTAATTATATTATTGTATTGTATATTATTATATTATGTATACATTATATATGTATTTTTAAAACTATACTAACTTTGCTTGCTTATTGTAGCTTATTAAATAATATATTAATTTTTTTTAAATGCATGTCATTAATGTGTTATATGCGTTATATAATTAATACATATTATATTTTAAAATGAAATTACAATTTTTTGCTTAGATTTAAACATAATAATTTAATTTAATAAAAATTTAATTTTATTAATCATGTGCATATTCTTTATTATATATTTATATATATGATATTGATATGATTATTCATATTGATATGAATTTAATATAGTGAATGTTAAATTGTTAACTACAGGTCTACCAGGTCTGATATTAACATTATATTGATTCATTTTAATAGAAGAAACTAATGGTTTTGGCACTTAATTGGGTAATATTAATATTAAATTGTTTAATCCAAAGTATATTCAAATTTAATTCTTCATATTGGTAAATATTTATCCAATAAAATGAAATATAAATGTTTGAAAGTTTATTATATAAAATAAAAAATATCATTTTTATTAAATAATAATTTTTAAAAAAGTTTTATATTTTAATATTTATATTTTTATTATTACAATTGAATTTATAACATAAATAATATCTTTTAATAAATTGTATCACAAAATATAAATTATATTAAAAAATGTAAATTATTTATTTACTTGATTTAAAATTAATGTATAGCCAAATTGAGTTTTGTATTATTGCATGTTTAAAATCTTTTATTTAAAAATTATAAATATTATAAATATTAATGCTTATTTTAGTAAAAATGCAATTTGAGATATTAATGATTCTTTAATGGTATTATGTATTATAGCTTTTGATATTGATATTGTATTTTTATAATCTAATAATTGTTGATATAATTTAATTATAAAACAATTTTTTTAAATTAATTTGTACATATATGATTATGGTATATTAAATATTTTTTAAATATTTTACAGCACTACTGTGATAGGCCATATAATGGATGCCAATCAACCATTGGTGAATACAACTGAAATTGTTTGAGATAACATTTTAAAATTTATTTATTTTTATTATAACAAATTTTTTTGCTAAATAATAGAATTTGATTTAAAAATTTTTATATCCTATAAATCCTTTGCACTTGCTATTTTTTTTCTTTTAATTAAAACTCATCTTTGAAAAAAAATTTAAATATAATATTTTATTGATTTTTTACTTGCAAGTTAAATACTTTTTAATAATTTTTTCTAATTGTAAGTATATTTATATTAGTTATTTGGCTTATTTCTTTTATTATAATAATTTGATATACAAATGTAAAGGATTAATATTTAGGTTATATTTAGTATATTATTTCATAGTTCTTACATACAGAACTTTCATAATTCTATTACACATATTATAAAAATTAATAACAGAAACTAGAATATAATATAATCCGAAAAAAATTTTCAAAATTTTACATATGCAATATTATTATTGATATATACAGTTATTATTGAGTATATATGTAAGTATAATTATAATTTATAATACCAAGTTACTTATTAAGTTAATAATTCTAATTAGAATATAAAAAATAAAGAAATGATTTGATGAGATCTAAATATTTATAATTAAAATATTGTTATTAATTATAAATAATGATTTTATAAAGAAAATATGAATTAAAGATACTACAAAGTAATAAAATTATTATTGTTGTTAAATAAAAATATTTAAGAATATTTTAATATAATTGCCAAAAAATAAAATATTAAAACAATTTTATCTATATTTGATATGTATAGAATATCAAATATATAGAATATATCAAATATAGATAAAATTGTTTTAATATTTTATTTTCATTTACATATATGTTAAAAATATTATCAAAAACTGATACAATAATTTACTTTAAATATCATGCATATAATTATAGAAATATTTTTTATAATCCACAAATGTATGTTTTCTAAAAAAAAGTCTTATTTTTATATTTTTTATATTATACTTCATTTTTTTTATTAAACTACAAAGTATTATTTATAAAAATAATACTAAAATTTTTATTAAACTACAAAGTATTATTTATAAAAATAACTGTGACAACATTGATTAAATATTTTTGTTTAAATTTATTAAATAATAATTAAATATTAAATAATTAATATTTAATATTAATATAATATATATAAAGTTACTATATAATGTTAAAAATGATAATTATATTCAATTTAATTATAAATAATAATTGTAAAAAAATAATGTGTAAAGAAATTTAAAAAATTCTTTTTTAACACATTTATTTACTTTTAAATTTTTTATATATATATAGTAAATATAATATATATATGATATAATATAAAGTAAATTTAAATTATGAGAAACATAGAAAATTGTAATATAAAATATATGTAATTATTATGAAAAATAGATATTTATCATTTCCATATACATATAATAATAAGAAATAAAAATTTTCAATATATATTTTTAAAATGAATATTATAATTTATAACCATATCTTTGTATCCAATTTAATCCATTTATTGAAGATGACATTGGATAATATTCTAAACCAATATATTCATTATATCCCTCTCTTTCTAGAAGTGAAAGAACATATTTGTAATCTATTTCTCCAGAAGTATCAGGTTCATGTCTATCTGGTACTTGAGCAATTTGTATATGACCTATAAATTAAAAGAAATATATATTTTATTTTATATATTTAAATTAAATTATATACCTATATATGGTAAAAGTTCCTTGATGTTTTTTGTAATATTGCCACAAATGTGTTGTAAATGGAAAATATCAAGTTGTAATTTTAAATTTGATTTATTTATTTTCTTTATCACATCTAAGCCTAAATAAAAAATAACATAATAAAGATGATAATTTTTTATTAAAATAAAAATATATTTTGCATGATTACCCTTTTGAAAACTATTCATATAATAATTTGGCACAGTAATATTATTAATAGGTTCTATAAGTGCAATTATTCCCTCTTTTTGAAATTTCTCTACTGCATATAAAAGATTTTTTATATAAATATCATCATTAATACTTGTTATTTGATTTACTTTGCCTGACATTACATGAATTCTGAAAAAAATAGTGCAAAAAAAATAAATTGAAATATTAATTTTTAAAAAAATATTCATTAATTTATCAAATTAAATTTCCTTTACCGTTTACAATTTAAAGCATTTGCATATTCTATTGTTAAATCAATACTTTTTTTGAAGTTTTCTTCTTCTCCAGGTATTGCTGCAAATCCTAACTCTCCTTTAGAAACATCACCTATTTCCAAAATTATATTATAATTATTATAATTATTATTAAATTAATCATTATAAATAATACTTTATACAAATTATAATTTTTTAATTTTTTATAAATTAACCTGTAAACACATTTATAAGAACTTGTTCAATATCTGCATTTTTTTTGGCTTTTGATACATCTTCAATAGAAAAACCAAAAGGAAATCCACTTTCTACTGCTTTAAAACCAGCTTCTTTTGCCAATTTATATCTATCAATGATAGATGGTGCCTCAATGAACATAAAAGATAAATTGGAAGCAAATTTTAAATTCATACTGTTCATTTTTCTTTTACAAATGAATATTTCACTATAACTATTATATTTAATATTATATATAATATATATTGATAAAAAAAGCACTTACAATATTATGTAACTTTACTTATCTTTATATGATGGAACAAATGTGATACATAGCACACAGCAACAGTCAAGATTTTATCTATAATGTTTTTTTATTATCAAGTTATAGTTCATATGTATTTAACCTTTATTTAAATTTAATTGTATTATATGTAAATTTAATAGTAAATTATATACATTTAAATTAAATTTAAATATGTATATTTAATGAAAAATTTTATACTTTGTTATTTCACAAGATAATTTATTAATAAATATTATTAAAATATATTTTATTATTATTGCATTAATTATAATGTTAATCTTTATAATGTTACAATTTTAAATTTAAACAATTTTATAAGTTTAAATAATAACTTAAGTAACTAATAAAAATTTTTTAAAAATGTTACTTGTTTTTAATAAAATAAGAAAAATTGAATAAACAATTAAAATAAAAATATATTTAATTTGTATATAACTAATTTGAGGGAAAATATAAAACATTTTAATTTTTATATATGTTTTTTTCATTAAAAAAAATGTGAATAAATGTACTAATGTTTTCTTTACAAATATTTTTGTTTAACATGAAATTTAATGTAAAGCCAATTTAATGTAATATTACAAAATAAATATAAGAATTAAATGTTTATATGTATACATTGAAATATATTTGTATATATGAAATGTTTTATATATTACTCGTCGTCATCACGAACACCACCACCTGGTACTTTTGGTCCTCCTGCACGTTTTGCCATAATAATCTGATTAACTTTAAGTACAGTGCATGCAACACCAACAGCATATTTTAAACCCCATAATTTTGTTAAGTATAAATCTAAAATTTCACTTTCAACTGTATCGATAAGACCTCCTTTTTGCTATAAAAAAAAATATATATATATTTTATTACAGATTAATTATGAAATTTAATAAAAAATTTAAACAAATGCGTACGTCAATATTAAAACCATAATTTTTTTTGCCTTCTTTATGTGCAGAATAAAGTTTGGATAAAAGTTCTGAAGCATAACTTCCACTATTTTCTGCTAAGGTTTTTGGAAAAACTTCTAGAGCTGTTGCAAATCTGCGTACTGCATATTGTTCTAAACCTGGTAAAGTATCTGCATAAGTACTAAGCTGTGAAGCAAGTTCAATTTCCGTAGCACCCGCTCCAGGAACAAATCTTCCATCTCTTGTTATTCCTTTAAATGTATTAACTCCATCGTCAATAGCCCGTTCAATATCATCCATATAATTTTCTGTAGATCCTCGAACAATTATAGTGCTAACACGACTATCTTTACCACTTATTGCAAACTTTACTACTATAGTATCACCAACTTCATCAATATATACTGAATCTGCATATCCCAGTTCTTCCTTTGATGGTGGAGCCTAAAAACAAAAATAATTAATTAGATCTTTATAGTATATTAAAAAATAAATGATTGAAAAATAAAATTATTTTTCTTAACTAGTTTTGAAAGTGCAGTAGCACCAACAGTTTTACATAATCTTCTAATATCAAACTTGCTAGGTATACGAACAGCCATTAAATTATATTTATTCATATAATGTAAAGCCATATCTCCAAACTTTCCTCCTGAAACAATCACACTAGCTCCACTATCAGCAATTGCTTTTATTTGAGATTCTAATAAGGATTCCTCTCCTCTAGAGAATTTCATTAATTCATCTGCTGTCTTTATTAATACTGTTCCTTTTGTTTCGGTTTGTATGATATCTACAGCACAAGTATAGACTGCAATTTTGCTATTATCTTTTCTTGTAACATCTCCTTCAACTTGTCTCTTAAATACCATTCCCTGTACAACTTCAGAACTGGATATACCACTACCAAGTATTTTACAAACACGTACATTATCTACATTAAAAGTACTCTTTTTTGGTAAAATAGAAATACAAGCTTGCGCAACAAGAGAAGTAAGTGGTTCTTCATTTCCATATTGTTTACTCATAATAGCTGTTTTAATTCCCATTTTTATTTGTTTTTCATCTCTATAATCTTTTATTTCATAACAAACTAATGTTGGTAATATCTGTAAAACTTTCTCTAACGAAGCTTCATATCCTTCAACTATTTCAGATGTAGTAATTCCCTGATATAAAAATATTGAAAAAATGTTTATATTATTAATATATTTCTAATTTACGATTATAATTATAAATATAAAATAAATTATAATCAAATAATATTAATTATTTTTAAAAATTTACCAAACGAAGTAATTCTTCTGCAGCTTCAAGAAGTGCACCAGCAAAAATTATTACAAAATTAGTGCCATCACCAACTTCTGCTTCTTGCATTTTTGATGCAAGAACTATCAATTTAGCAGCTGGATGTTCAACTTCTAATTCATTAATAATTGTAGCAGCATCATTAGTGATAAACAATTTTTCAATATGATTAATTATCATTTTATTCATGCCATTTGGGCCATAAGCAGTTCTAACAGTTTGTGCAAATTGCTTACATGCTGATATATTTCCATATACTGCTTCTTCTAAACCTGAGAAATACTGATTGAAAGAGAAAATAATATACATGTTATTAAATGTATAAAATATATTTTATTTTTTAAATTATTATTTTTTATTAATTAAAGTAATTGCATGTTTTGTAATTTTTTTTATAAGTTTATTACTATTATCTAAAAATTATATATAATTAAAAATTAAAATTTATTAAATATAATT